GTTTTGACTCTACCTTTCTGAAGACAGAAATTTTACTCAAAATTATAGCCCCATTAAGTAGATTTTGAGAAAATATTTTTGACTTGAACTTTATTAAGACAGCTTGATTTCTTGATCATTTTTTTAAAATAGACTTTTATTGTTTTTTGAATGTGTTTTCAGTGACAGTTTACATAGCAATTTGGTTCCCATTTAACAATATCTACAAAAATTACTCAGTGTCTGACATGGGTTACTCTTTTTCACAATGTGTCATCATTCTCATTCATTCCAGTCTGGTTGCTCCATTTCCAGTAACGCTGTTCACTGCCCTCTTACTTCTCATCTTTGCTTCAGGGTAATGGTCAACCTTGTGGTCTCATATAGATGGTTTTTTAAAGGAGTGCAGCATTCACAGGTGATGTTCTTTATTTTATGAGTCAGTGTGAAAATGGTGTGGTGAGGGCATCTGACCTCCTCTAACTTCACAAGAGGGGAGAAGGGTCAAGGTCAACAGTCTAAGGTTGATTCCTGTGAAGCGGGGGTCAGGCATGCTGCCACCTTCCAATCTTTTTACCAGTTCTTTTTTTTTTTTTTTTTTTAATTGTGATTTGGGTGCAAATTTACAAAGCAGATTTGTTTTACTCTTAACGATTCATGCACATTTGATTTCACGGCCCTGATTACAATCCCCAGTCATAAAAAATCCTCTCCTTCCTGTGACTACCCCTTCTGTGTGCCCTTGTTATTTGTGCATTCGTATCTGTCCAGGTTTCCGTCTGGGAACGCTGCCCCTCTGGTGTCTCATGGCTGATCTCAGGGGTGCATCTCCCTAGGGTAGGTGGATGCCTCTCCTTGAGGTAGGTGTTCTGCTTGTAGGTCTTCCTACTGTTGGGCTAAGAGCAGGGCCTGAAGGATAAGTCAGGACTGTAGTCTCGGAGGTTCCCCCGGTCTCTATCAGACCAGTAATTCTGGTCATTTTTGTGTTTTTGAGTTTTGTTTCACATTTTTTCTCCCACTTTATCCAGGATCTCCAATTTTGATGCCTTTCCAAGTGGTTGGCATTGATAGCTGGGCACCGTCCAGTTCTTCTGGTCTCAGGGTTGTGAAAGCTGAGGTCTTCATGGCCCATCTTATCTTTGGACTAATTGTTTCAAAATGACTTTGCTTTTCTTCACTCTTCATTGCTTCAGATGAGAGGAGACAAGTAGTTGCATCTTAGATGGCCACTCAAATACTTTTAAGATCCCAGTCGCTACTCACTAAAGTAGGATGTAGAACAAGATTTTCATGTACTGTGTTGTGTAAATTGAGCATGATGTCCCCTGAGACTATGGTCTAGAGACTGTGGGTCTGGTGATTATCTCCCTCAAGGTGTTTGGTTGTCTTTGAGAAGCTACTCCAACCTTGTCCTCTGTTACTTCTGTAATGTATGTGGATAATTTTGTAGCACAAGTACATATGTAAGACTGTCTTCAGCTAAATCTATCTTTGGGTTTGGGCTTTTTACCAACTCTGACACTAGCCATGGCGCACTCTATGCCTCTGCTGGGTTCTGTGATCCATTGTAATGGCCACAAAGAACTCACAGACAGTACTCACGATTGTGGGATTTATTAGGGAAGTAACAGGTTACAATTCAGCATCTTTGATACAGTTCTTTGATCAGGACAGTCTCCCCTCAGCTGTGCCTGAAGACAGGTCTCTCTCTGGCCTTTGGCCCTTGGCCCAGCCTCAGCCCCAGCCCCTTGACTTAGCATCTGCCCTACTCTGGCGAGTATTACAGATCTCTGTAGCCCTACCGATAAATGCCTAGAGGGACCCCACTCCACCAGTAAACCTTGGCCCAAAGGCACTCAGCTCTCTTGTTCTGTGGGTCAGTGAGCTTTGCTCCATGGTCCATGGATAAGTGCTTAGAGGCACCACACTCCACCAGCAAGCCTCAAGGCACTCACCTTTCTTGCTTCGTGGGCCTGAAGCTCATCGCTGTGTCTCATGCTCTGTTGCTGCTCGCCTCCGCTGCTGCTGCTTCTCGCTGTCTCTGATGTCAGAGCTCTCTGTTTCCTGATTGAGGGGGTTCAGTCAGTGCAGGGACCTTGGGTCCAAAGGACATGCTCTACCTTTGGCTCTTCCTTCTTGATGGTAGTGAGATGCCCCCTTCTGCCTGTGAGATGGCTCATTTTAAGCCTAGCAAGATGGCAAAACTGACCAATCCCCACATTAGAGCTCCATAACTCTTACTTACATGGGTCCACCCCCTACAAGGGTGCCATGCACCTTATTTACATTATTAGCAAGCTAGCCAATCTCCTTGGTGAACCACAAGGACCTACATTTGTATAATCCCACCCAGTCATTGGTGGGACTTACAAAGACTATGGCTAGAAAGTCCATGTTAAGTAATTCACTGTACTGCAGCCACTCTCTTAGTTAGCTAAAAGATAACCTCAGAAGACAGTTTCAGTTCAAGGTTTAACAGGTATCTCAGGGCAGTAGTCTCAGTAGCCTTGAGGAGTCCTTCCGTCTCAACCAGTCCATTAAGTCTGTACTTCTGCCCTGCCTCTGAGTAGGTGAGAGGTCTGTTCACGTTCAGAGAGCAGTGCTAGGAAGCCCTCGGTAGCATCGTATGTTCATCGTATGTATGCGCGCATGAAGAATCTAAAAGTCTTTTATTCAACCAGCCTTTGCTAATGTTCTTGGACTCAGAGGTTTTTTCTTTTCTTTTTTTCTTAAACGTCTGAGTTTAAATTCCTTACTGGAAAGACAGGAAAGGAAAAACTTGTAGTAGATTTTCCAAACACAAACTTTGCTTTTATAATATAGTTATGGCAACCATCTCTATTTTGGTCAAGTTAGCCTACTATATGAATTACATTTTGCAATTTAAAAACCACAAATCATTGCAAGCAGTAAAGTGGACATTTTGAATATACATTTTAGGCATGGGACAGAAACATTCTAGAGGCTAGAATGAGACTGAAAGGCAGATGGATCTGGCCTGATCTGTGAGGGTCAGAGCAAACATCCTTGAGGAGCTAGGGCGTGGAAGGTGACTAGGAGTTAATTAGGCAGTGCTGACAGAACAGCTTAAGGAGAGCTTCTCAGAAGAAAAGCACTTGCAGAAGTCTTGCAGTGGCAGTTGAGTCCAGAAAGAAGCCATCATTGTGTGGTCAACTGATTTTCAACGAAGTTGCCAAGACAATTCAATGGAGGAAAGAATAGTTTTTAACAAATGGTGGATATCCACATGCAGAAGAATGAAGCGGGACCCTGTCTCACGCCAGGCACAAAAATTAACGCAGAATGGATCACAGAGCCAACTTTTAGAGTTAAAAACTGTAGAACTCATAGAAAAGGAAACTTAGGAGTAAATCTTTGTTATCATGAGTTAGGCAATGGTTTCTTAAAACCATAAACACAAGTACCAAAGGAGTAACTATATAAATTGGACTTCATCAAAACTGAAAATTTTTGTACTTCAAAGGATACCATCAAGAAGGTGAAATAACAACCCACAAAATGGGAGCAAGTATTTGCATATCATATATCTGATCAGGGAACTTGTCAGATACGAGGCTCCTCGGGAAATGTAGAGGGGCCCCAGGAAGCAGGGACGTGGCAAGAAGTCAGGCTCCTGTGTGGATACGCGTATTCCTTGATTTGGAAAGCAGAGCTCCGCTGAAAAGCAGTTTCTGCATCATTTCTCTCAGAACAAAAACTTGTAACCTAGCTTGAAGTTAGTAAACTCTTCGTCCGTTTCTGAGGTAACAGGTGTAAACTCTGTGGGTTTGGCTGAGAGCTTCCCTAGTCTAGGAATCTTGGCCGTGTTGCATGGTTGAATTTATGAACAGGGCCTCTCCTGTGGTAATCCAAGAGTTTACCTTCAGTCCTGCTCAAATTCCAACTATCCCACCAAAATTTACACAGTTTGCTTCCTTTTAAAATTACAAGACTTTGAAATAGTCTAAGCATCCACCTCAATCAGTCAGTTACTTGATGGGTGTGTCAGAGCCAGTGATTTCAGTTGTATTTTGCAGTCTCAGTGCCTCAGAAAACTTGACTCTGTCAGCATCCTGAGCCATGACCTCACTGGCGTTAGATATCCTTCTTAGCTCACCAAACACGGAGTCCAGCCAGGAAAAGGAAAGTAGAAAATTGTCATCCCCCACCCCACTACAGGGTGGTTCTGGACATGGTTCATACAAGGGAGCAGGGGTGAAATTTCTTCTTGGTGATGAAGTTTCTGAGGAGGGTGAAAACCTCTTTTGGTTTTTAAATTTTCCACTAAAGATTTGATGACTTTATTGGAGGTAAACCATGTGGGGTGATTGACATCAGACACTTGGTTCCTGGACCAAAGAAGTATTGTCATTAGGTGCTGCTCAGTCAGTTCCGACTCGCAGCAGCCCTGTGTGCGACACAACGAAGCCCTGCCTGCTCCTGTGTGCGACA